TGGCCAATAACAGTCCATTTCAGCTCACTAATGCCTAAGATATCAATGTTTATGCGTTCCATTTCATTTTTGACAACTTCCAATTTTCCCAGATTCATACTTTGTACATTCCATGTTCCAATTTTCAATGGATGTTTTACAGCTGTTTCTCTTCATTTTAAGTTGTGCCCCATCAGCAAATGAAGGTTCTGTGGGCTTTTCTCTCACGAGCTTAACTCTATTCTCATCATCATGTTCAACTCTACTTTGAAGAGTCATCTCTCCCCTAGTCACCTTCTGAGTGCCTTCCAACCTGAGGGGCTCATTTGCAGCTCTGTATCTGACAGTGTTTCTCTACTATTCATAAGGTTTTCAGTGACTAATGATTCGGAAGTGGTTCATCATTCTTTCTTCCTAGTCGGTCTTTGTCTGGAAGCACATCTGAAACCTGTCCACCATGGTTGACCCTGATGGTTATTTAAAATACCAGTGGCATAGCCCTCAGAACCACAGCAATTAAAGCCACCACAGCATGAAAGACAGACGAGTGGTGGCCATTTGGTTTTATGTCAAAACTGTCACTTTAAATTTTGATATCAATCCTGATACAATCAAGATGTTCTCTCCCAAGAACACGGCTCTGGGAATAGCTCAGCGTCTTGAATTAGAAAACAATGGATTTCTGGATTCTCCTACAAATTTCCCTAGCTGTAATCACTCCAGTCCTCCAAATGTTCCTTTATATGTGTTTCAGAGTTCCAGCACCATCCCCTGAGCCTGCTTGGCCCTGTATTCTGTGTTATTGTTAATAGGGCTCCTCACTGCACGTCTACCCGATCCGCCATCTTGATTCTTCTATACACTAGGTGCATCTAAAAATGTAATTTCAGTTTCTTACAACTCCACCTTTTCTTTCTCCTGGATCCTTTTAGAGGTCAAAGGCAGTCTTATACCTAGAAATAACAATTGACAGCAGACAGACAGAAAGAATTATGAGTTCTAATTCATTTCATTCATTAAGTGCCGTTGAGTCAGTTCTGACTCATCGTGATCCTATTGTGGGTTTCTACCTTGAGGTTAGCAGTCTAGTGCTTATCCTATAGCATCACACTATTTAGGTGGACAAAAAAAACATACAGCAAGACTTAATGAGAATGTTCGAGAGCCATATCAAAACATGAGTCTCAAAATTCAAGATTGTTTATGCTATGAGTTTCCCAGGTCTATGTAAAATGATAAGGTATAAGAAATCCCCTCTGTGGTGCCTGCTCCAGTCCTTCATTCCTAGGAATCCTACTTGGAAACACAGATTTGTTTCCCATTGCCATCTTGTACTAGAGGAAAAAACTAAAACAAAACAAAACAAAAAACCCCACCCAATTCAGATTCAAACATACTACAGAGACCCTTTTATTTAGTCTTAAATAGAACAAAACCAAAATAAGCATAATCATCCAAGATGAGAAAAATCATCAGCATGCACACAATACAGAAACTGGATGGAGTCTGCTGACTCAGCCATTGAGTTAATTATGTATGATAGAAAACAAAGAAAATTACAAAATCATGATTGGTGGTAAGTCGATTCATTGCTGTTACAGGTTGGACTACAGGATCAAGATTGAGATATGTACACAATGGCAGATTAAAAAGTTTACAGGAATGATTCTGGTTACATGCTGGAGGTCAAGGTATGGCTCGTGACCATGCAGACCTGAGTTATAGTCACTAGATCCCTAACTTTCAATTTAAATATAGATAACAAGTAATTATTTTCAGTAAATCATTAAGGACACACCCAGGTAATTTTCCTAAGACAAACTGTCCTTCTGTGGGCTTGCTTTAGATTTATAATCTACTTTCAATTACAGTCTTCATGAGAGCAAACTTTTTTTTCTCCTGGACTTGTCTGGGAGTTGTCAGAGTCACATTACTGGTTTCATGATAAAAAACAACTCAAATGGAGTCTGAATTTATGTTAACACTCAAAAGAGAATTAGGGGTCTCGTAGACTGCTGTTTTCCACAAACCAAGTTCTCTAATACAGAAGTTTTGCTGGATGACATCAAGCATTTACACATATATAAACATGTTCTTTAATAGATATTTAACACCAGTTCATTTTCGTCTCAAACTCAAATTTTAACTGTACTTTGTCTAAAGAGTTTTAATGATATATTTTATATTTGAAAATATTTAAATAATCTCCTATCACAATTCTTTGCAACAAAAATAATGTACATACATTTGAATTTGTTTTTTTTAATTGACTGTACATAAAATTATTTCAAAACTGTATCTTGCTTTAAGTAATTTTTTATTTGAATTAATGCAATTTCATGAAAAAACTTAAACAAATTTTGATGTAAAATGTAAAATTTTATTGCAACTGTGTCTATAAATCAGATACATGAGGTTTCTTTAGAATCTGAAAATGAGTATTTTTTACTATATTATGGACATTCCTCTATGTAATTTCTATTCTTTTCATCAGTGTAAATACGGAGAAGTTTTGTTCACATAAATGAAAGATGTTATTGGGACAGTTTATCAGAGTATCATTGTTCACGAGTTATTAAAAAACAATGCAGTTATTAAAACATTGCTTTTCAATGTCTTTGGAATTAATAATAAAAACAAAACAAAACAAAGCCAGATGATGACACGTTATCAAAAATCATTTTTAATGACGTAATGAACTTCAATTCTGTGGAGCTCTGGTAGCATAGTGGTTACGAATCGGGCTGTGAACCTTAAGGTCAGCGGTTCGAAACTACCAGCCGCTCCGCGGGAGAAAGATGAGGCTTTCTACTCCCGTAAGGATTTACACCCTCGGAAACCCTGTACAGGGTCGCTATGGGTCGGAACCGACTCGACGGCACTTAACAACAACAACAACAACAACAGTTGTTATTGTTAGTTGGTTCCAACTTATAGAAGCCCTGTGTAGGATTTCCAAGGAGGAGCTGGTGGGTTTGAATTGCAAACCTTGTGGTTAGCAATCCAGTGTTTTTCCTACAGTGCCACACCAGAACTTTGTTACAGAGTGTTACTAAATTATGGTGTTCATTAAGTTAATCAAAATCAGTATAAAATTTGTATATGTTGGGATGATTCAAGATGACTTTGATAACTATGTGTACTATTTTCTTTTTTTGTAAAGTGAGAGAGATGAAAAGATAAAAAGGAAAGGAGATAAATATGTTACAGAGATACATTAAACAAGGTATGTTCTCTAGGATGGCAAAACTTAATTTTTTATATTTTGAACATATTGCCAGGAAAGACCAGTCCCTGGAGGACATCATGCTTGGAAAAGTAGTTGTTGTTGTTGTTAAGTGCCGTCGAGTCGGTTCCGACCCATAGCGACCCTGAACAGGTTTCTGAGGTTGTAAATATTTACGGGAGCAGAAAGCCACATCTTTCTCCCGTGGAACCGCTGGTAGTTTCGAACTGCTGACCTTTTGGTTTGCAGCCCAATTCGTAACCACTGCGCTACCAGAGCCTTCCGGGTACTCACAGTCTAATAGGGTACAAAATGTTGTCCTTCCCATAAGTGGGTAAATGCTTCAGGAAACAGTAGTTGTTGTTTGAGACTGTCATGGACTCAATTCCCTATACACAACAGAATGAAGCACTGCTGAACAGTAAATAACAAATTTAAGGGACATATCTGGGCTATAAACTACCCCCTTTGCAATTCTCTCTGACCCTAGTGCTTAAGACTTTTTTAAAAAACTGTATCAATTATTTTCTGAACAAACACGTTGACAAAGTATACCTATATCCAAATAAGTCAAATTAAAATGCAAAGTTTCTTAAATAAAGGAACTTCTTTTTCTGAGTTTCTTATTGTTGTTCTGGTTAAGTGCTGTCAAGCCAGTTCTGACTCATGACGACCCTGTATAGCGTTTCCGAGATGCAGCTGGTGAATTGGAACTGCCAACCTTGCAGTGAAACTGACCTTGTGGTCCTGTGCTTATCTTATAGCACCACACCAGGACTCCTTAATTTCTTATAGAAAGTAACAAGTACTCAAAAATCTAAGATAGAAGAAATACAAATTAACATGAGGTTAGAAATTAAAAATCATAAAAATTCACGAGTTATTAAAAGTTTAATAGATTTAATTAAATTTAAAAATTTAATTAAAGATTCATGAGTTATTAAAAAACAATGCAGTTATTAAAACTTATACTAACACATTTTAATATCTTACAAATTATGGAGAAGATTGCATATTTAAGTTGAGTTAGTATTGTTGTTGTTGTTAGGTGTCATCAAGTCAATTTCGACTAATAGCAAGAAGGAAACACTGCCAGTCCTGAACCATCCTCAAAATTGTTGCTATGTTTGAGCCCATTGTAAATGTTACTGTGTTAAATTGTCTCACTGAGTTTTCCTCTTTTTCACTGACTCTCATATATCTAGTAAGGTGAATCGTTAGAAAAATTAGAATAGTTTGGCATTTAAAATAATATTTATTTTCATCTGCTTTTTTTCCGGTATTATTTCAGTATGGCATATAATGGTGTTATTGTTGTTGTTAAGTGCTGTTGAGTTGGTTCCAACCCGTATCAACCCGGTATAGGATTTCTGAAGAGTGGCTGGTGGGTTTGAACCACTGACTTTGTGGTTCAAACTGACTCTGCAGTCCTGTGCATTATCCTGCAGCGTCACACCAAGACACTAATGTAGAAAAACATTTTATTTTATGGAAGTTTTGTTTTTATTTTCTCACTGAAAATTTAATAATTTTTTCTTACTCAGGCTTTCTTTGTTACATAAGTTAAAATCATTTCCATAAATAAATGAGTTTTTGTGAATACATGACTATACATTAAACTGTTTGGGCAAATGGTAACTTGAAAAAAACAGAGCAAAATTTCAAAAACCTGAAACTCTCTGAACACTGTGAAATAAATTATTCTGCTTATTTTATAGTGTCCGTTGTCCAATTCTTATATTCTTTCCTTAAGCCTATGACACTTACTCCTGAGAAAAATTTAAAATTCTTTCCCTCATCTCAAATGCATGTTTCTCTTAAAAAAAAAATGAATAATTCCCTTGCGGATTTGCTTGGTTTTAACACTGTAAATGATGGGGTTCATCACAGGAGGAGCCAGCAAGTAGATATTGGCCATGATAACATGGACCAATGGAGAGGTATGCTTAGCAAATCGATGAGTCATTGATACTCCAACCATGGGAACATAGAGTACCAAAACAGCCAGAATGTGGGACAGACAGTTATTGAAGGTGCGGATTCTCTCATTCTTAGAGGTAACACTAAGAACACTTCTTAGGATCATTGCATAAGATAGCACAATGAGCAATGGGTCCATCACAATAATGAGCAACACAAGAGCAAATCCATACCAACTGTTGACCCTGATGTCAGCACAGACCAAGCGAATCATATCCTGGTGGAGGCAGTAGGAGTGAGAGAGCTGGTGAGATCGGCAGAAGGGCAGGCGCTTCAGTAGGAAAAGTGATGGAAGAACAGCCAGAACACAGCGACAAATGATGGCTACTCCAATTCTGCCAATGACTTCATTGGTAAGGATGGAAGAGTATTGGAGAGGGCGGCAGATGGCCACATAGCGGTCATAGGACATGGCCAGAAGGACAGAGGATTCCATGAAAGAGAATGTATGAATGAAAAATATCTGTGCAAAGCAGGCTTCAAAGCTTATTTCCTGGACATTGAACCAGAGGAGCTGCATGACTGTGGGCAGGGTGGTGAGTGTGAGACCCAGGTCAGTCAGGGACAGCATGGAGAGAAATAGGTACATGGGCTGGTGGAGAGATGGCTCTGTGCGGATGACAGCAAGGATGGTAATGTTGCCCATAATGGAGATAGTGTAGAAGAAGCAAAAGGGAATGGAGATCCAGATGTGAGAGGCCTCAAATCCAGGGATGCCCATGAGAATAAAGGAGTCTTGGGAAGTGTTAGTTGTCTGGAACATGACAGATGAATGAGACTCCAGACTCACCGTCTTTGCTGAAAGAGAATCAAAAGCATTAGAAATAGTTTACTTGTTCTATAATTACCTCTAATCCATTTAAGCTAAACACTATTCAAATTAAGTTTCAGAGTTTTGGAGACTAAGGACAGTTTTCAGATCACTACTGTTGGCCTTCATTAACTTCTCTTAGTAGAGGTTGCTTCCTCACAACTGGGCTCCCCTTCAATATTCAGTACAGATGGAATCATGGGAAACTTTAAAATATTTTCAGCTTCCACTTTCCAATAATCATTCAATTTTTAGCAATCTAAAATTTGCCTTTCAGCCAAATGACACTACCAATACTACTTTCACAAAGATTTAAAGTGAACTTGAAACTAGAAAATAATGGCAAATGTTGAATCTTTGTTCATTTTGTAGTTCTTTATATCCAAAATCTCCTTCTGAATTTTCCTTTGTCTTTTACATTTTACAGCATTTCATCACTTTCACTTGTTTTAACCTCTTGCCCTATCACCGCTTTCTTTTATTATATACTAAAGCCATTGGGAGGAGTCCTGGTGTGGTGCTGTGGGCTAATGTGTCAGACTGCAAAGTCATTTGAACTGCAAGGTTGGTGGTTCAAGCTTACCAGCTGCTCCTTGGAAACCTTATACAAGGTCGCCATGGGTCGGAATCAACTTGATGGCACTTATCAACAACAACAAAGCCATTGAGAAACTTTGGTAGGATAGTGGTTTATAAGTTGGGCTGCTAACCGTAAGGTCAACAGTTCTAATCTAATAGCTGCTTCTCAAGAGACAGATGAGGCTTTCGGTCCCCCAAAATTTACAGCTTTGGAAAACCTATATAGGGGCAGTATGAGTCAGAATTGACTTAAAGGCACGTAGCCACCACACACAAGGTCATTATTCCTAAAGGTTAGTCCTATTTCTACTCATTTTATTCTCATTGATATGTCATCTGATATCCTGGGTTGAATGCCTGCAATATTCAAAATTTACCAGAATTCTAGAATATGAGTGAGAGCAGGAGAAGGACCAGTCAGAAGGTACTACCAACAGTCCAAGAAAGGACAACTAGGTTTACTGAGTACTTTCTAAGTGTATAACATACCTTCCCAAGTATGTTACCTGTATTCAGTCTTTCCACCCTCTGAGAGCAGTCATGATTCCTCCTTTTATTCCCTGATCATCCACACAGAAGTATTACCTGTGGTTTCTGTTGTCTGGTGCCGTTTGCTGTATTTGTGACCTCTGTTTTTTCTTATAGGCTCAGCGGCAAGTGAGGGCTCTGCAGATCTCTAATGGTGGAGAGTTGTGGCAGGTCTCTTCAGGATTACTTGAAGAGGCATCTTGAGACCTGGATTCCCACTGGTAGGAGACTAAAAATGTATGTAAGATCCTTAGCTAAATTCCATCTGGATTAAGTTGTTGTGTGTTAAGTGCTATAGAGTTGGTTCAGGTTGATAGCAGCCTTGCCTAGAGTTTCCAAGGAGCAGCTGGTGGGTTTGAGCTACTGACACTACAGTTAGCAACTCAGTGTTTATGGTAAATTAGGTATGAATAAGTGGCAACAAATAAAAGAGAGAAAAAACAACAACAACAACAAAAAACCAAGCATTTCAATCTCTCACTGTAGGGCTGTCTAACATTTTTAGTAGCTATAGATAAAGCTCAAACAGAATATTAGTGTATAGAACACAAAAATCATTAATTTCTCTATATCAGAGTCCTGGTGTGGTGCTGTACATAAACACTGGACCACAAAGTCATTTGAATCACAAGATTGGAGATTCAAACTCACCAGCCACTCCTTGGGAACCCTATACAAGGTGCTATGAGTCAGAACTGACTCTACTGGCACTTAACAGCAGCAGGCAGAAAAATGATGAATTGAAAAGAACCTTACAGGAACTTTATTAAAGCATGCCATCAAAGGAATTCATATCTTACATATGAAAAAATAATTGTATCAATATGTATCAATATTTGGATTATAAATATTTAACGGAAATAATATGTCAAAGTTTACCGAAAAAAAAAAGAAATACAACCATAACATGCAATCATAACAAATGATCAATGTCCTTCAAGGCTTTAATGGAAAGTTCTATCTTGCACTTTTTAAACTGTCTGAAGACATTTATTAGACTATGTGGATCAGAACAAATTATTGATAGTAATCAAATAAAAGGGATTCCAGGACATTTAATTGTGTTAATAGGGAAACTGTATCCGGGTCAAGAGGCATTCATTTGAGCAGAGCAAGAAATACAGTGTGGTTCAAAATAACCAAGGTACATGGTAGAGTTGTATCCTTTCACTTCAAGTGACGTTTTTATAAGTGGTATTTATAGGGAAGGCAGAGTAAAGTGGAGTGAAAACTCTAATTGGCAAATAAGCAGGAATGACTTGTATTCAATAAGAGTGGGAGATATTTGGTAATTTGTGGCTAGGAAAGTGGTCATGTTCTATGTCCTAAAATGATTATGAAGTGGTGCTTTTTTTCTTGTACATTGTGATCAACTATTGTCATTGTATGATGTTGATGTGTTAAAATTGTCTAACAAGAAAACACCAAAATTCAGCTATGAGTGTAGGACCAGCACCTAGCAACACTAAGAAATAGCTGATAGGATAGTACTGAATTTACCAGAAGAAATCAAATAGTGGCCATCAAGTCAATATCAACTCAAGGTGACCCCATGCGGTACTGAGTAGAACTGTTTCATAGGATTTTCTTGACTGTAACCTTTATAGAATCAGATCAACAAGACTTTTGCTGTGTGAGTTCAAATCACCAATTTGTATATTAATAATGAGGTCCAAATCATTTGTGAAACCCAGAAAACTTTCTCAATGTTAGGAGCTTTTTGTCTTTTTTTAAAAATTTCCAACAGATACATTGGGAAAAGACACAATTGAATTGGAACAGTTTCTGAGGTTGCTAATTTTTCCCCATATTTATTAGTACATGTTCATGGCTATTACAAAAAAATGGGACTGAGTGTTGTAAGAAAAAAAAAAAAAAGGGAAATTAGGCTATTTTGAAAAAGTGTGAATAAGAATATCGCATTCCAGGACCATCAAGAGAGCTGAACTTGTGACCCTAAACAGAAAAACAGCAACACCAGAGGTGGAGACAAGAGTTGATGGCATGGAGAGATTAGCGACTGAGGACTCTGGTGGTAGTGTTGGTGTGCCGCGGAGTGGGTTTCGACTCATAGTGACCCTGTACAGGGTTTCCGAGATTGTAAGTCTTTATGGGAACAGAAAGCCTCATCTTTCTCATGCAGAACAGCTGGTAGTGTCGAATTGCTGACCTTGAGGTTAGCAGCCCAACGTAACCACTACACTAGCAGAGCTCCTTAAAAGATACTCTTTGGTTGTTTAAAAGATTATATATCCTTGTGTAGTTTTATACATATATACATGCTCTGGAGGGTAGACACACATTGACATGGGTGCATGGGTGACGGGGCAGGCAATGTACAACCATAGGGAAATTGGCCGAGGAAAGATGGGGATAGCGGGAGATACAGGGAGGAAAGCAGTGGTTGGAGTAAATAGAGCAGTACAGCCTCGGAAACCCTGTACAGGGTCTCTATGAGTCGGAACCGACTCCACGGCACATAACAACAACAAATGTTGTGAACTGTTGGTGCAGGGAGGGATTTGCAATCATGTAATAAAGCAAAGTATATGATTTATTGAATGTGAAACTGATGATCTGCTCTGCAAACCTTCACTCAATACACAGTAAAAAGTTTAAATAAATAATAAGAAATTTTTCTTAATGCATAGGACAAAACTGTTGTTGTTATGTGCTATTGAGTTGTTTCTGACCCATAGCAACTCTGCATAGGATTTCCAAGGAGGGGTTAGTGGGTTTGAACTGCCAATCTTGGTGTTAGCCATCCAGTGCTTATCCTGCAGCACCATACCAGGACTCTGGAGTAAAACTAAGTTTCATTAAAACATGAATTATTGGGCTATGACAGAAAGGATGAGACAGGAGCAGTTAGATGAAAACGTTGGGGAATGTCAGTTATCTAATGCTGCTGTATCAGAAATACCACAGCGGATGACTCTAACATCCAGACATTTATGCCCCCAAAATTTAGGAGGCTACAAGTCCAAATTCAGAGTGCTGGCTCTGGGAAAAGGTTTCCACTTTGTCAGCTCTGGGGAAAGGTCCTTGTCTCCTTTCTGTTTCTGTAGGTACAATATTCCTTGGAGATCTCCATATGTCTTCGTATCCATCTTCCTCTGGATCTAGGAGCTTCACAGTGCAGGGACGCCAGGTCCAAAGCATGCACTCCAGTCCACATTCTTCTATTTTGGGGGTCCCCCTTTCTCTACTGAAGTCTTTCTCCTTTTATCTCAAGTAGAATAAAACGTGTTACATACCACACTCTTGGGAAACACCAGTAAATTGTTCACTGAAGCAGGGTGATGGTGGGGTTATAATTAGCGTTGGATTCAGAACCACAAAGTTTGTGGTTCAAGCCCACCAGAAGCTCCATGGGAGTAAGATGAAGCTTTCTGCTTCCATGAAGATTTAAAACCAAAGAAACCCTATACAAGGTCACTATAAATTGGAACCGCTGAAAGACACTTAACAACAACATCCCACCTTTAATTCTCTTATTGGTTTACCATATCAAATCACATCTCAAATGCTAAACCACAGATAATCCTGGCTCAGTCAAGTTGACATAAAGTTTAATTATCGCAGTAGGTAAAGAAGGGTCTAAGATCTTTACAGAGGGTTGGGACAGTATGCCATACACTGTGAGTGGAAAGTTAATTTGGAGGTCTAGGGAATAAATAATTCAGAGACAGTGACCTGAGGGATGTCTGTGACAGACTATATAGGGTCTTATAAAGCCTGTTAAGTTGTTTTCGTTTAAGTGCATCAGAAGTTACTAAAGTTTATTTTTAAGGAGTATTAACATAATCATCTGTAAGTTTTGCTTTATTATGCAAACTTTTTGTTGTGAA